CCAGCCACTACTACCTCTCGGTAGGTGTGAAGCACCGCATTCCAACCATATTAGCACACAAAAACTAGCCTAGAGCAGGCGTTAAAGTCCCATGTAGCAGTGAAAATAAATAATAAAAAAAAATTAGAGACCTCCATACCTCAAATACAGAGGACACTCCATTTTCTGGAATAACAGCAGGGGGCTCCTCAACTCCTGCAAAATTTGTTTAAATGCACCCTGGTGGTTGCCCTGCACAGAGGCAACTGAAGAGGAAACTCCAGTGGTTTTGTTCTGGAGGTAGAGTCCAGCATGTCCACTGCCTGCTCACCTCTCACTGCCACTCTCAGCGCAACTAGGCATGATATTTTAGCCAAACTACTAACCCTTAACATTAATGCACAGAAAGCTGACTGAATGTGCCTGTATGAGCATGTACAATACAAAGTTTCATTTTATGTTTAAAGCACAGACTGCACTTAAAAACATCTATTTTCTCCTCCTTAAATTTAAAACCTGTTTTGAATCACAGATGTGGCAGTTTTTGGTTTAGAAGAATGACAGAAAATGTACTATTTAGTTTATTTTTAATGTCATTTTAGAAAACCCTACAACTTATTCTGTGACGGACAGCTCTCACTCATCTATCTCTGCTGATGAGACATGGGAGGCACAACATAGGCACCTTAAAAAAGAAGAAGAAAACCAACAAACAAACAAAAAAAACCCAAAAAAAACCCAAAACAACCACCAGCACCACCAACAAAAAAATCCCAGTCTCATCAAGGTTTCCAGGCAAATAACAAGCATGACTGGTAATGCTGTAGGGAGAAAAAAGTAAAAATAAATCCCAACCATTTAGTCTGTGGCCATTATCACTAAAACATCTTGTACATTGTTTACATTGTTGTCATATCACTAAGCAGCAGATTTATGGCTCCCCTGTGCAATTCCATACCATAAATATTTAAGAACTTATTTTGAATGCAACCTTCATTTTGAATGTTGGTAGTGTTCAGGTTTGAGAAAACATCATCCTAGTAGTGATACTACTAAGAATGAGTTTCCTTAACACATACTTCCAGTCTCGACTATAATTTTTTTGCTTGGAAGAAAGTGATAAGCATAGGTCCATTTTAGCATTCCTACTATACCAAAGAATGAGCTACATAAAAACATAGCTCAAGATCACAGGAAACGTCTTGTATGATTGAACCGTATTAAAGCACCAAGCATGTTTAAGCCAGGACTGCTCAGCAGTGACTTTTCAGGTAAATATACACTCTTATTGAAAGTGTATGTCTGCAACATTTTCCCCCTTTACAGGCACAGGTGGATTTGAATTCTTGTATAATTTAAAAAAAATTATGCAAGTAATTTATGTTTATGGAAAGATGCATAAGATTTTAATCCTTCCAAATTTGTAAGTAGCTTAAAGTTAATATTAAGTCTTTTCTGAACCCCAAGCAGTGCTATAAATGCTATTCATATACTGCTATGAATACTATGCAATATACTATTTTAGCTGATCTTCCAATACGTATCTGCTGAAAAAGTCTTGATAAAGAAAAAATAGAGAAGAAAAATTGAAACTAATACCTTAATTTTAAATTAATAAATACAGAGAAATTAACTTGACTCATACACTGTAAGATGCAAGACAAATGTAGCTGCAAGATAGCACCCAGAACTTTTTATGTCAACTGATGAAAAACATCCAAAATAAAATTAACATTTTGACCTTGCAAAAAGTTAGGTCTCACATCACACGGGGATGCAACTCAGTCTGTTCAGACAACCTGGTAATAGAAAACAGCCTGAAAAATCTAATTAAAAATCTAATGTAAAAATCTAAACTGTTACGAAGACTGTATCAACAATTGAACTGTTGTCAAAAGACAGGGAGTAAGAGTTTGAACATTGCTGCCACATTACCTGAAACAAAATATGCTAGCAATAGGGGCAGGGAGAGTGACCGCTTAGGACAGAGCTAAAGAAGTGTCCCCATAAGACATCCTTCTTGCACTACCTGTTCCTCACAAATCAAAACAATTCTTGCTCTAAACTTTGTGCTGAACTACAGATCAATGTGAACTTCGGAAGAAACAACAGCACAGAATTCTGCTTGTGTTTTATCTTATAATCACAAGAATTCAAAAGATAGTATTTAGCTTTCTGGAGATGTCTTTGTTTCCTGACCAACTGTACTGAACCAACAATTTTGTTCTGTGTTTAATGCAATTCTTTAGCCAGGTAATCTTCCTGTTCTTGCATCAGAAATTAAGGCTAGGAGAAATGAATGAGTTCACCTCGTCCATAACAGATCAAGGGATCATGGTGCAAAGATCCATCCTAGCTGATTAAATAGACAGGGGTCCTGTTGCCTTTGTATCCTCTCAATTCTGACTATAACAAATACCAAATCACAGTACCCAGCACTGGTTTCACCGCATGCTGGACTCAGCAGAAGGTGGAAGGACAATATTCAGAAGGAAAACAGTAAGGAAAGCACAAGAGAATAACTCAAAATACTAGAAAAGAGTCTAGTTTTCATTCTCTGAGCTCGCAAAATACATTACATAAGATCTCTACAAAACCCTGAATTGTTCTACTAATCATGACTCCACAGAGGTTACAGTGTCTGTTCAGAATGCAGAAGAAAACCCAACCTTTGCTGGCTGAGCACATCAGTATTTCCTCCTCTGCCCTTGGAGATCTGAATGGGACACAGTAACAGCAAATAAGGCTACTAGAATTTGCCAGCATCTAGCTTAGAGATCCACCTATTTCCAGGTAACAGTGTGGCCTTTTTCCATTGAAAATAAAGTCACACTTCACCTAGCTTTTCCAAGCATTCATTCCAGATCCTTCTTTCTCTCAAAACAGTTTTAAGACTTCACACTTACATTGCAATGCTTGCACTCATACAAGTATTCATAATTATGTAAAATAAAACTAAATATTCAAGGGAGTTTTAAAGTTTGATCTCTTCTGTTGCTTTGAAACCACTTTGTTAACTTTAATAAAATAACACGAACTTTCAAGTTCCACGTTGAATTATTTTTCATTCTGTACTAATACATTCCATCAAGCATAGTCCAAAGCACATTTACTAAAGATAGGTGTTCTTTTATTTCATTAATAATGATTCTTAACCAACTGAACCAAGCTTCAAGTATTTCTCCCTGTGAAGCACAGGATCAGCAAAAATTAGAAAGAAATTAACTACCTTTGTCTTCTTTCTTTCAAAACCCCCTGCTGGAACAGATTATTAAAAAACAATGTCTCCCTTTTGCACTGACAAAAAATTATTTTACTTTACAACACTAGTGGAAAACTCTAATTCAACCATATGTTCCTTGTGGGACCAATCTGCAAAGTGACAGAACAGTCACAACTCTTCCCACAGCTGGAAAAATCATGCTCTGCCATATACACATGGTCTGGAGACTCTTCACAGAATATTAGGAGTTGGAAGGGACCTCGAAAGATCATCCAGTCCAACCCCCCTGCCAGGGCAGGATCACCTAGACCAGGTCACACAGGAACACATCCAGGAGGGTCTTGAATGCCTCCAGAGAAGGAGACTCCACAACCTCTCTGGGCAGCCTGTTCAGTGCTCTGTCACACTTACAGTATTCTCAGAGCTTTTATTTCAGGTTATATGTATCAATGAAATAGCACTACCTTTTACATTTTCATTCCAGGAAATTTCTGCCTTCTTTCAAGGAACATTACGTGTTCTGTCTTTCACAAATTTTTACCAAATATTGTATGGTTTTTTACTCACCTAGCCCAGGTGAATGAATCTAATAATCTAATTTTGTTATTTTTCTCCTCCAAAAACACCCTATGCTTTTTGTTCCCTGTGGACTCCAGTAACACTTCTATCTGTATCTCTACAGCACTAGCAAACCTTTATCTTCACACTGTAGAAACTCTGGAAAATCTTGTTTCATAGTTTGGTATTTAAAGAACACACTGCAGGTGCAAGTCTCCAGATCTACAACAAAATCTGTCCAATTAAGCCTTTGCTTGGTCTCTCTCCTTCTTCATCTTTGCTGTCCAGCAGTATAGCTCCCTACACCTCAGAAGAGAATTAGCTGCCAAAAGAGTAAAGTTTGTAGGGCATCCCAAATTGCTGAGACAAGGAACAGCAGGAAGGAGTTGTTAAGTATGGTTCATTCAACTTTATTCCTTACCCCAGAACTATTAAGAGCTACCACTGCAATGATACACTAGAATCATACAGATTTTCAGTATGATCAAGGCATACTTCTTCAACGTCAGTTATTTACTAAGACAAATATATGAACCTAGCCATAAAGAAATTAAAATAAAATTATTTTTAAATAAAATCTAATAATTCATCCTAGAGATTAAAATTTGTAGTGAAATTAAACATTTTTTACAAAAATACTTGGTAGAGTTTATTTCCATGCTTATTCTAACACAATCGCTCTTAGAAGATGTCATGGCACATAGCTTTATATCACTATCAAATACAAGGTAAGACATATATATCACAGTTGTGCTCCATATATATATTTGTGTTTAGTATCAGTTCCCTGCACTTACAGAACAACATGAAATGCAGTCAATAAATAATCAAAAGTCCTTACCGCTTTGTACCCCGTATCTGTTTTGCATGCTTTTCTCCCTGAAAACATTAGGATTCCTTGCCAGGATAGCCTGCAGCAAGACTGGTATATCTCCTTCTGGATCATCACTGCCAAGGTTATCTTTCAACTCTCTGCAATTGTGGAAGTAAGCAAATAAAGAGGCAAATGCATTTTTATATTATAAGAAACTATGAGTCAAGTGAAAACAACAAACCAAACTAAAATCAAACCAAAATGAAAGACAATATACTGTTAAAATATATTAAAAAAACAAGTCTGCAAAGCACTGCTCCCTGCCTTTATTTTTTTCCCTTTCTTTAAGAAATGGCAGAAGAGGTATTCCTACTAGTTTCCAAAACTATTCTCTGTTACTAAGCACTTACATATACATGGCTGTCAGTTTCAGACAATTATAAAAAGTTTCTTATGCCCACTTTTATATCGTGATTTTCTCCATAAAAGAGTACTTTGGCATAACATGAAGAAAGTATTACTGTAGGACAGAAAATAACATATGCATGAAGGAGTAACATTCAGCTTGCAGCCCAATGCTTTGAGAATCTTTTATTTTAAAAAGGGAAATTGGCATATCTCTGACATCACAGGATTTCCTCTGAACCATAAAAAAATGTAATGGATTTTCTCTAAATGCATCCATAATTTCACTTACTGTTTGCTCTGAGGACTTTTAAAAGCTACTTACATTCGATCAAAACAATTGGTTGGAACATGTAGGAAAAACACAGTGCTGTCAACATAAGATAATTCAAAGGATACCAGGGAAAAATAAGGTTTAAAAAAAATTAATTAAAAAAGAATACATTAGCATAGTTGCTGGTTCAATTGTTCAAATATTTAAGTTCAATACCTAATGAGAATTGACATGCATCTTACACAGGTGTCCCAAAAAATTTTCTTTTTGTGTAATACCAGCTACATGATCTGTCTATGTGCATTTTTAACCAAAGTGGAACACAAATGAGTACTGAGCAATCAGCATCACAAAGTCTACACTCCTAACTAGCAAGAATGGAATAAGCAGCAGGTCTATAAAATAACCCCCACAGTTATGCATAAGGGTTGCAGGACAATTAGCAACATTCTGACTGACTGAAACATTTGACTCTTATACAGCAGTCATCTGCTAAGCAAGCATAATAAAAAAACCTCGTGTGTTCTAATTTTCAGATTCTCACAAACACCCTTTTCAATCCAGTCAATTTTGATTTCAAGGAATAAGGACGGTGATCTGATACAGCTGAAGTTCAAAATACATACATGTGATCTGTTGACACCTGATTGAGACTGTGGACGAGCTGTGAAACCAGATTTTCATCCCTGCAAGCCAGAAGGCAGTTCACCTCTTCAGCTATCCGTCCATTGAAAAGCAGGCTTTTTGTTGTTGTAGCAGGTAAAGGTGATGGAAGAGGCAGCTGGTTCAAAACTGTTATCAGAAAACAGAAAGGAGTTCAGAGTAATTTCACGAAACACAGTCATACAAAGATGGACATCTCCCTACTCCTTCATGTGAATCAGAGAGAAAATCCGATGGTTACATATACAACATAGGGAAGATTACTGGATTTTTTTGTATTATGAACGCGTGCACACACACACAAAGACTGGACTCTGTTTTAAACAAAGTTATGCAGTCAAGTCCACAAGTTTTATTACTATTACTGTAAATATTTAACTGTGCCAAGTCAAGTATTATAAATAAAAACTTATTTTTAAACATTCCAGAATACTAAATTACTTAGTATGTTATGGCAGCTTTCTCTTGGAACCAAAAGTATTGATAAAGGAAGGAAATGCAAAATCCTTGTAGTTGTATGCAGTACTGTAAGTGTACTGAGTATTTACGTTTTCTATTCTGATCTTTGTATTTAATTAGTGTTTTCACTTTGTATGGTCAGAGTAGATAAAAAAACAACACAAAACCCAAACAACCAACCCACTAAAAATCAAACAATCCAACAACGAATTTAAGTCACTAATTAAATTCTCAGTTTATTCTTCTCTTCTTGCATTTAATTCTATGCAAGTCATCTTCTCAAGAAAGGCTAGTATCACTGGTTGGTTTGATCACTAAAGTGTCAATTCATAAATATCCATAAATCTTGTTAAAAAGTTTTAATAAAAACATCTATCACACATTATTTCAATCAGATTATAACATGTTATACTTTCAGAGAATATTCTTAGGTCTACAGACATAACAAGAAATTGTACCATATAAGCAGCCTCGACCTGATGATTGCCAGAGCTCTGCAGACAAGAGAATAAACCACAGAAGGCCAAAAAGCTAGCTATATGTAAAAGTCACTTTCATGGGTCCAGGAAAACAAGCTGACTCTGACTTCAACTTCCCAGGCTGATTACAGCTCTGAGATAAAGGCTTTAACTGAACAGTCAGAAATAGCTTCAGAAAAAAAACAACTTATCTGAAATATACTCTTCTAGCTCTTTCATATTGTAAATGTTTTCATTAAAAAAGCTGGGTGAATTCTTGTATTAACCTCCCTAGATAATGTCTATCATTACTGTATGTAAAAATAAACTGCAATTCAAACAGAAGTGTAAAATATATTAATACAGCTAGCTTTCATTACTTGCATCAGATTATCTTGAACATGGAAAAATTAGCAAGATTAGCAAAACTTATTTATTAAAACAGCATAAATTCAGCTAGTTGACTGAGCCTACTCTACTGCCTCTAGTCATCATGTCCTTCGTATTTTTAGAACCACAGGTCTTGCCCATTCCAGTTCCTTCTCACACAGATAAAAATAAGGTGAAGCAGTTACAAGCCTTTTTCTTTCAGCTGCTTCCAAGTTTCTAAACAACAGACAAATACGACAGATAAAGAAGCAAATGCACCTAGCACAAGGGCTAATCCCACAAAAGGCACTTCAGTGTTTCAGGAAACTCTTGTATGAGGAGTTTGGACAGGTGTTTTGACTCTCTTTAGAAACTCACCTGTTAATGCTGGAAAATTCCCATAGCCCAGAAACTTACGGTTTGCATCTTGATGGTCCATTATTAGACATACATGATGTTACATTTATACACATCTAAATACAGCATAAGCAGCAACTTCCAATTTGCTATTTCATAGTATCAAAAGGACATGAAGAAGTGGATTTTTTACTTGAATACATCTGTTTGTTTGTTGTTTGTTTTTTTTACTGTAGGCAATTAAATTTAATTGCTGGGTATATATTTTCAGTGTTTTTTCGAAAGTCTCTGAATTTTAACAGTGTAAGAACTAAAACAAGAGCTCAAAAAAAGCACCTGGGTCACTGAGTCCAATTATCCTCAGACAGGCAACTGAGCTACAAACTTTTTTACACTTTATAAACAAGATGCATCTTTGTCCTAACTGCTGTGTCTGCAATGGCTGTTCTAGGATCTCTGTATTATAGCAATGATAAATCTGCTCTTAGTTTTAACTAGAAATTTACTCTTGGTCACATTATACCACTACTTTTTGTGCCTGCATCAGCTTTTAATCTAAATAATTCTTCTTCTTTACTTGCATTTTGTCTACCTGATGTATTTAAAGACTGTACACACACCTCACCTGCTCCTTCTGCAGGCTGAACAGCCAAGAAAGAAGACTCATAGGTTCAACTGCTTATTTCCATTCTAGCAGCCATTCTTTGCGCTCATTAATTACAGCAACCTTTTTGTACCTTCTCCAAAACTAAGTTAACTAGGTCTCAAGTATATTCAGTATATTCCACAATTCCCTTTCGTTAGTTGAGCACCAGTCTAATCCCCTTTCCCTCCCTCTTTCCTCTCTTCAGTAACGATGATGAGATAGGTATTTAAGAGAAGTATTTTATCATTTACACGTTTCCCTTTATTTGTGGGTTACCCAGATATGCTACTGAATGATACTCCAAATATACAAGGAATTCCTATATTTTGTCTCAGGTTTCCTTGAGGGTTTTTTTTAACCTACATTTCGTTTCGTGTTTACATTAGCATGTTTTATTTGAAGAGATTTTTAAAATTAAAGCAATGACAAAGTTAATATTTTTAATGCTGAATCAGATTTTGAGCAGATTGACCTTTAAGAGGTTTTAAAATATAACTATTTTTAGTACTTTGAAAATGCAGGTATCTGCCAAAGCGGCAGAAAACAGCACAGCAAAAGACAACAAAAAGAAGAGTACTTACGGTCTGTAAGACTAGCAATCCCTGCAAGAGTAGTGATAGGAACATGAGGCATATCCCCATTCATCCTGAAGTTCTGGGGTAGTAGTGCCTACACAGATATTTTAGTTCAGGTGCCAGCTATCATTACTTCCCATCTCCCAAGCACTAAAAAAAAAATAAAAAGAACAAAACCAAATTAAAATTATCAGTTAACTTTTTTAGAACTTTAAACTCATTAACTGAAATGAAACACAGACCACACCCTCAGCTGAATGCTATGTAAATTTTGTCAAGAGAGAATACAACAATGTAGATTTTAAATATCAAATGGTTTTAGGCAAGCAAAAGGCAAGATTCCGGTCTCAGAAACAGAACCCTTCACCAAAAAAATGCAGGATAAGGCAATCAAAAGAAAATTTGCTCAAGTGATATAATACCAACTCAAAACTTCTGTTAGCTCATACTGCAGTGGACAGCACTTAATGCATAACATGTTTAAGTAATCAGCTGCTGTTTTCACTTCCCAGTTTCGCAGAACATATTTTTCAGATAAGAGACTAGCAAAAACAAAAGGAGTAATTTACAGATGCAAAAAATCAAGCACTAAACAAAGTGACAAATACAAAATATTAGTACACTTTAAAAGTAGTATTTATTTCAAAATCTCTTTACTATATGGTCAAACTACTACCAGAAACTGTATCACAACTACTGAAAAGGGAATTTGTTTTCTCAGTTTTCACTAACTATAAAGATCCCAACTATAATGAAGTCCACACTGCTAAAACAAAAACCGAAGAAACAAAAAAAGGTCATTGCAATACTTCCAACTGCAGCTCCAGAACAACAAAACTTTACGAAGATCACACCGTACAATCCACTCTTATACCAATGCAATGACAAAAACTGAACTTATTTTCTGAAGACAAAATAAATTAAAGGAATTTGATATACATGTGTTTACCTATGATAGACAGGCACCTGTCTTAACAGTTTCGAAAACAGTAAAGACTTCTGTAAGCATTTAGGTCATCTACTGAAGACGCTGAAATCACAATTTGCTTACACTTACTTTACAAGCCAACATTTTTAAGAATTACATATACAATACATACAAACCAAAGTAACAGTAATTTCCTCAGTAATTTTTATCTCTTTTTTTCTTATGCCACACCAATGGCAATATATAGGACACCACTGCTAATAAATGCATACAGATTCTAAGTAACAGAAGGAAAATGAAATGTTGTACGTCTTTTTTCTGCTCTAAGGTTTCATAAGCCACTGAAGTTAACTTTTCAAAGTTTCCCTCTCTACAAATAACTGAATTCTCCGGAAATAAAATACCAACACTAAGGTTAAACAGAACTGACAATGAGTTGACTTCCTTTGCTGCACCTGCCACAATCTCATTCTCACCACTAAATTACATTTCTTTATTAAAAATATAGTACTTTACAGGTACAGAAATCTGGTTAAGGAGACTGCTACAGACAGATACACTCTGTGGGTTGTTGTATCTGTTTTTTTAATTCAGAAGAAAACAGCCTTCCAATATCCAGAGCAGTTTCAAATATTTCTCAATACTTGAGGTTCTTTACCCAAAAGAAGTATCAATATACACAGAACTTCAGTGGTTTCTTCGTTCCACAAATAAGAGGAAAAAGGAAAAAGGAAAAAGGAAAAAGG